GTGGCACACATCGTCTGATAACATAAAGCTTAGTTTAGAAGGAGAAAGATCTTAACAAAGATTTCATCGAGGATAAACTACTTGATTTGCCAGATCATTTTACAGTCACATACAAAGAGTCCAAAATGTTTCAAACGTTTCGCATTAACAATTTTTAAGGACTTATCTATGTACATGAACAATATTTTAAAGATTTTTGATCAGTTGAAATTCACTTTTGTTAACAGTTTGTTTTTTGAACTCCAAAGCATTTGGTTTAATAGCTGCATGTCCACAACCAAGAAATTGACAAGTGAAATATTGCATTATAATTTATAAACAGGGCGACTTGTCACTACCATTGCCGAATTATAATTTATAAAACAGAGCACTTGTTACTACCATTTGCATTAAGGTAATGTATTTGGTTTAATAGCTGTATGTCCACAAGCAAGAAATTGACAGGTGAAATATTGAATTATAATTTATAAAGCAAGGCAACTTGTTACTACCATTTGCCAAATTATAATTTATAAAATAGGGCAACTTGTTACTACCATTTGCAATATTAAAGGTATTGGTTTAATAGCTGCATGTACACAAGCAAGAAATTGACAGGTGAAATATTGAATTATAATTTATAAAGCAAGGCAACTTGTTACTACCATTGCCAAATTATAATTTATAAATAGGGCAACTTGTTACTACCATTTGCAATATTAAAGGTATTGGTTTAATAGCTGCATGTACACAAGCAAGAAATTGACAGGTGAAATATTGCATTGTAATTTATAAAACAGGGCAACTTGTGACTACCATTTGCAATAAGGTAATGTCTTTGGTTTAATAGCTGCATGTCCACAAGCAAGAAATTGACAGGTGAAATATTGCATTATAAGTCATAAGTTATAAAACAGGGCAACTTGTTACTACCATTTGCCGAAGTTAATGTTTAATTTATTTCCTATTAGTGTAACTTTGTAGTTGTAGATTCAACGCTCACCGATCACCTCTTTTTCGTCTTTAAAGTACTCAATTTCGCTTTAAAATTTGACAAACGTGTAACTTCGGTTGCTTCCGTCCTTCGAAAACAACGAAATTTTCCGGAAGTAGAACGTACCGTTCGTCATCTTTCGTATATCCGACGATTGCCGAAGATGTGGCACCCACAAACACACACAGATCCGGATACTTTTTCGACTACATAGTGGTTAGCCGCGCATGCGCAGGCTACCCACAAAAAACGTTGGGTATCTGGCAAACGCGTGCCATGGTTAACTAAGGCCCTAATTGTTAAAAAAAGCCACATAATGCATGTTTAAAACGAAAAGCAGTTTCATCTAAATTAGATTCGAAGGCATCAGGTGTTGAAAATGAGCCCGGCCCAATTATCGTTGTGACTACGCTACTGCACTCAAAGCGATACATCTAGTGAAAATATTAATGAAATTGTAGACAATCTTAGGCTGTGTGCACACGAGCGTCGTTTTCGAGCGTTTTCAAAATCGTTTTTATCTAGTCTATCGTTTTGATGGCCCGTCTACACGATCAAAGGAAAAATGTGCTCAATATGTTAAATTAGCTTCAACTTCTATTGTTATTTGACGATGTTTGAAACCGTTTTGGCATGAAAACGAAAATGGAAACGCTCGAAAACGTTATCATGTGCACATAGTCTTAATCAGGACTTGGAAAAAGTATCATCTTGGATGCCAGTTAACCAACTTAGCCTAAATCATTCTAAAACGGAATACCTGATAGTAGGTATAGCAGTAGAAGAATTAGCCAAATTGATGTACATTCTCATATACTTATTGGAGGTGGGAAATACATACAGTAACCAAATCACTTTGTATAAAGATTGACGAGAAATTTGTCATGGAATGCCCAAGTGAGCCAAATCACTAGGAGGGTAAATGCAGGCCTCAGCATCCTAAGGCGGCTTCGAGAAACAGTAGATGTGAGCCCATGTATGAGTTTTACCAGTGGACTATATTGTATATTAGCCCCTATATATATGCCTTCCGTCGATTTTCCGCCGTCCATGAACCATTGCTTCTTGATCAGATCCTAACTTATTTAATCTGGTAATTTTTGATTTTTTAATTTGCTTCAGACGAGAATTGGATATAAGTGTTGAGATGACAGTCACTTATTTTTATAAAAAAATCGTTGGTCTTAATATAAAAATATCTAGTCGCACCTTCTTTGAAATATTAGCAAAATCAATTGATAGTATTTTCTAACGAAAGGAAGGAATGCGAATGTAACACCAGTTTATAAAAATGGTGTAAATAATAAACCAAGTAATTATCGACCACTATCTGTTATTCCATCAGTTTCCAAATCTTCGACCAACTTTATGAATATTTTAAGGCAAAATACAACAACTTGCAGACCCAATACCAATATGAATTTTGCTCATTACATAAACATATAGTACACAGATCGCGTCAGTTGCATGGAGCTACAAATAGCTGGTCTAATAGCTGGTCGAGTTGATTAATGTAGTTGTCTTTATTGACTATTAACTTTTAACCTCAAAACTAAAAAAAATACTATATTATTTTTTTAAGATAATAAGTGAGGAACCAGGGCTACGTATCAAATATAACTAAAGGGAAGCTTTTGTTACAATGGGGCAGCACTGTATTAAAGAGTTTGCCTGAAAGTGGAAACATAGGTATGAGAGCTTCGTTCAAAAATTACCATTATATAAGAAAGTATTTATCATTATAATCATCTGGTAAATCTACATCTGAATGACTCTCGCGGCAAACTTGTAAACCAGTCTTAGTTAATGTACCTATGTAATTAATCTACCAGTTACTGAGGTTTTTACCATACTCAAATAAAATTTCCAATAACAATAATAAGGCGAATTTCAGGTGAACGGTGCTACCAACGTTGGCGGCCACGTAAGAATCGGATGGGAATTCCGGTTTACGATTGATGACTGGCGTCTGAAGATAGAAATAAAGCGATTAAAAATGATTTATTTTCATTTCGACGACAGCAAGGCAATAAAATGGCACATAAAACATATATTTAAAAATGTTTCAAGTGGTTTTACGCGACAAGGCAATAATAAACTTTCACCGGCAAATAACGACCATCAATGTATTCCAAAACAAACAACTTCTAAATCATGGTCTTTCTAGTGTTATGAGCAGAAGCAATGCGCCAAACCAGCTGTAACTCCTGGTTAAAAAATCAATGGGGGGAGGGTAGTGCTCACAATTTTAGCTGTCTGAAAGTTATTACATATTCACCTGATCCAACGACTTCATTAAGAATGCACTTCTAAAATCATGGCTAACCACGTGTACATTCCTTCATCTTCAGCGGGCAGCGCAGCTTTAGATTGATGGACTCTGGCAACGAAATTGTCTCGAAGTCTTTTTTATGAGCCGCGGAGGACCTGAATCATAAAATAATGTAGCTGCATCAACGTCGCGGAGTAAGTAAAAGGTAAAGAGCTGGAAATAAGTGGCGTATAATTGTATAGTAATTAAATATGGTGTTTTTTATGAAGTGAACGAACAAGTGAACGAACGCTTGAAATCAATTGGTTCGAGTAACATTCAAAGTATAACTTCATTATATTATATAAAAAATTAAACTTTTTGTTTTAACTGAAACAGCGGAAGAAATTTTTCGTCTGATATTCTTTTCAATTGGGAATCACCGGTCACAATTGAAAAGAAAATCGAGCGAAAAAATTCGTTCCGTTGAAAAATTCCGCCTAGTTGAAAACCGCCATAAAATTTAACTTGAAGTCGAATTTTTTCCGTATTCTGAACTTCGCCTTTGCTAGTTCCAGTACTTACCTTGTCCGGTTACAGGACGCACCTTGAACTGACCTAAATATATTTAATGATGTATCAAATGAATAATAAACAGACGGCGCCTTGCTTCAGTATGCCCAATGTGAAAACACTGCTACAATGAGAGTGGACCGATGTGGAATGAAGCCCAACATACGGCGAATATATTAGACAGGAAACGCTTGGAATTTCAGTATTTTAATATGTCACACACAATCTGAAACTAAGATGCAGATTATACGATAAATTTATAAGTAAATTATGCGAACTAAATGTTTAAATTATAGTAAAGTTGACTTACATCTGTTCCGAGCAAAGTTTCCCGTTCGTAAACATAAATAATTAATAAAACATATAAACCTTTAACATAAACCTTCGAAATTGTTTTAGTGCCTTTTGTTTAATCCACGTGGTTCCCATGAAACCTTTCGGCATGTTAATCCCTTTAATTTAACTAAACAACATGAAGTACACAGCTATTTACATCAAAACAGAGAGGGTTAGCCTGGGTGCTGTCCAACCAGGCGTGGTTTGGACTTTGATTCGGACTCGTTTCGTAGGAACTTGTAGTGTAAAGATTGGATTGGTTGGTGGGAGGTGACTGGGTGAGATTCTGGTTCATACTCAGGAATTTCAGTAGCTAATTTCCCCTCGATGTTGACGAATAATTACTAAAAGTTTCAGCTATATCAACAGGTGAGGATTATTGTTCACCTACTTCTTGAGCTCTTATTTAAACATGCAAAACTAATTTCCTGATTTCACTCGTTCACATAAAAATAAGAAAATCGCAAGTGTAAACGGGAATTTAGGAGGTATATAATCAACAATATCTTAAATCCAAAGTAGATTAACAAAATTTTGAACCACATGCACTATCATACCCGGTAAATTTAACTTCGAAGGGTTTATAGATCGGCGAACAAACTACTCAACAAGTAAATAGGAACCAAAATAGAAAACACTGGGGTCAGGCATTAAATGAAATATTTGAAAATCAAACTAGGAACTTCTCCTCTTCCTAGAGAATTTCTGTGGAACGAGATTGCAGGGCAACCCGAACACTGCTGACATCATGCTTTTAGGCAGCATTTCTACCCATGGGTAACCTAGCTTTTTCTGTGGAAATTGGAAGTATTTACGAGGTATTCTATAAGTGGAAGCACTTCGTATATCCGCTGGAATCAAAAAGCATTGAACTGTATGGGAAGAAGTGGCTAGAAGCCATTTAAAATAATATAGAAAATTTCAAAGAAATGATATAAAATAATAAAAGTAAAATCTAAAATATAATCAGAAAAATTATTATTTTTTTACTTGGTTGGTAATAATGAAGTCTGACTGCTGGATGTTATTAATTGTGGCTTGAAATCATCATAAAACAAGTGAGTGATGTGTCTCAAGAACGCTGATGTGTTTTTATGTGATTTAAATGCAAAGTCAGTCAGGGAAGTTGTAGGCTTTATCTAGGGTCTGGTATTGAAATAAAGTGTTATGAAAACCATTTACAAGTTAGCACTGTATTCTTTAATAAATTGACCTTTACATATGCCATGTTTAATACCCCCCTGGCAAATTTCTTTGATATGAAAAATCAACATTCGATCTTTTGTGATAATTTATACTTTTACACAAGTTAAATATATTTCTAACATGAAAATTGCCAAAAGAGAGTTTGCCCATGTGAACAGGGCCTTTATTCCACAAAGCTTTTTTGCTTCTTTGAGGGGAGTATGGACAACCCAGGTATTTTTCTACCATAACTCTTAAGTTCCAGACAGAGGCTTCATCTTTAATCAGTTCCAACATACAGTATATAGAGAATAATGCATGGATTCTTTGAAATATGGTATTTATTTCAACTGTCAAGAATATAAATATTGATAATGTGAGCACATGCAGGGAATGAGTGAGTATTGTGCACATACTCAACACATTAGAAATATTCCATATTTTAAGTATTATTTTTGAGATGTTTTTTATCGATCCCCCAGGGCACATATACGTGATTCCTGATTGGCGGATAAAACACAATAATCGCACATGTATTATTATTGTTTTCCACAATGCCGGATTCGCCAATAAAACACTACATATTATATAATAAATTATTATATAACTATAAAGATATATTATAATAATAAAGTTAATTAACAGGTAGTAAGTCACTCTATTATTACCATACTTTAAGGCCTTTTCGTATGACAGACAGCACATCTGCTGTGACAAAATAAAGTGGGTCTTGCTACATTTTTGGTGTTTTTTTTATATATATAAAACACAATATAAGTTCATGTAATCAGGCAAACTGCAAAGTGCCTTTACAAATTCCACTCAAGGTACATAGATCCTTACCCACTGCCTTGTATATACCCGACCCATATGCCACTCTCTAAAATTATAGGGTGGTTTGCTAGATGGGAAATAGTGCTAACCTATCTTGTATGTATAGGGGTCTGATGATTTGACCCCACAGAGCACTTATGCAGTCAGATTTGAGTAAGGGATAGTAATTTGTCTGTAAGTATTGGCAGCAAATAAGATGTATATATGGGCATATTTGTCAAGTGAGGCCATCCTTCCTCACTTTTTTCATCCAAAGCCCTGAACATTTCCCCAACTTCGGAAAGAAAAAGTTTTGAAACAAGACAAATGTATGAGTCTGTACATTTTTACTCTATTACAAATTCATCATCGGACAGAATACCATATGTTACATACATAATATACTGGAGCAGAATGGTTGACAACACCAAAAAGTGTGTCAGAGGCAGAGAGTAAGCTTTCAGCACATACAAAGCCTGATTTAGTTATTTTTCACAAATGTAAACATAAGAAATTTACATCAAGAAACAACCAACATATATATAAGATAATGTGACTGGACATGGTCAAAAGTGATCATTGAAGATGTGAAAATTTTGACACTATTTATTACTTTTTTAATATATCTCTCATATTCCCACACCTTATTAGATTCCTTAGTATGGTGGAAATTGAATCAATATTTTATTGCACAAATTTTCAGTTCTGTGATTGATTGAATTTATATAGTGAAAGAAACAGTGGGATGGAAACAAAACTAAGTGCTACATGATCAAAATATGAAAATGGCCGGTTAAAAGGCATTAAGGTGTTATATAATGACACACAGTACATACAGTGGCGTAGCCAGCCTGACGATTTCATCCCGCTATGTAAATTTCGAGTTATTATAATTATTCATGTCTTTAGAAATCTATTGTTTTCACAGTCAGTGAACACCAAAATATTAGCATAGCGGGACAAATCGACAGGCTGGCTACGCTACTGAGTACATATTCAGCATGGCTCTTTGCCAATCAGTATTCAAAGCTTGCAAATATTATAGTACTGTAATTTTTGAAGGGGTTGGTGATGTAGCAGGGTTTAAATTTTACACTGTCTTGAAATGGGGGTTCATTTTATTTTTCAGCATTAAAATGTTTGGTGGAGAAAATTTAGGGAACACTCAGTTTTTCTTCAGCTTCCACCCCTGCCATAAATACTGACCAGTCACTTATTGAGAAATTCCATCACATGGTTCGCAATAAAATAAAATACCTCAATGGCAAGAGTAGAAACAAAGAAATCTTTACAATTAGTCACTGAATCACATTAGATATCACGTCTATTAACATTATTTTCTTTTGAATTACAGAACGAACTGTTTTGAACTAGCAATGCAAAATAGCATGGATTTTAGTGACCTGATGAACAGGGCTTCAAAGAATCAAGAAAACGTGGTGAATAATGTAGGTTAAATGTAATTTTCAGAAGGTCTTCTTGTACAAACTGAGGGGAGAAGCTATAGTCTATTGATACGATGTTTTTATATAATTTATCCTTTCAGGTTAAAAATAAAAAGTCCAAAGACAATGGCTCAAATCAAGTTTCAAGTGCGGCAGTTAAAGCTTTTTTGGCGCGACAAAATGCCGAGAAAATCAAGCAAAAAGGTTGGTTTTTAAAATACAGATGCCAGTTAGAGCTACATACGAAAGCCGGATAGCGCTGTCCATCGGATATTGTTTTTCTCTTCCAAAATCTCGAAAATTGCCCGTTGTTGGCTATAACCTGACTTCACTAAATATTCCGGCCTAAATTCAGGATAGACCTTTTCGATGATTACGTCACAACATTATCGTTTTAAATTTAGAACCACTTTAAATGTTGTTAGATCATGATTAGTGTTGTTAGATCATGATTAGTATTAGATCATGTCCGTCCGTTTCTTTTTCTGTCCGTCCGTCTGTCCTTCTGTCTGTTTTCGTTTTTAAATAGAGGTGGGTGGCCTTAGCTAGGGTGTTATAGCCCTGTTGTCACCTGCCTATGTATGTGTCGTTGTTATTCATGTACCTGAAGTTTTGAAATAATAAATAATAATAATAAATGAGATTGATTTCAAGTTTTACTCTCACAAGCTATGTGCAAATATACAAAACATCCTTCTTCAACACATGCATGCACAATTTTTTTACAAATAAGTGTGGTAATAAGCCATTACTCGAAGACGAGGCTCCCGGCTTAAAAATTCTTTTTTATGCATGTGTTGAAGAGGGATGTTTTGCATCTTTGCACACAGCTGGTGAGAGTAAATTAAACTTGAAATCCATCTTATTTAAGGTGGTTCTAAATTTAAAACGATAATGTTGTTAGCCTAAAATCTCTACCGTACTGTAGTTTTATCTCTTTTCGGGCATATATTTACAAAAGTTGTAAAACCACGTTCCAGTGGATAGCGCTATCAAGCTTTAGTACAACCTCGCCCGAGGATTTTTATACGTTGTATTGACGTTGACGACAAACGGGAAACCGAGGTTCGCGTTAGCGGTTTGACGGTTGTCGTTTTTACCAATTTGACAATAATTTTGCAGTTATTTTCATACCTCGTGTTAATATGTTTCAAAATTCGCATTGTAAGTCTCGCTGTTAAATTGGTTTCAGTTATTCCGGATGTTAGCTAGCTACATATTTTTTATAATCAAACGTCGTTTTACCATACCATGACAAACCGGCATATTGCCTAACGACTTGTTTAACGTATTATTGAATAGCGGTAACCGCTTTCGGGATGAAAATCAGAGCAACTTATTGCAAAAGCCTAAAAAATTACCGCAAACACGATTTGGATGTCTAATATGTCTACTATAGTACTGGTCTTACGAGACAATTGAACTAACAAAAAGCTGAAGCTACGTGAAAATACACTTTCAGCAGTTAAGACCGTTAACCGAAACGCCAAACGGCAAAATCTGAGCGTTAAAGCCGCGGTTTGCGGTTGACGGAAAAACGTCAAGTTCTCTATTGACAAATAGTTTTGAAAAAAGTGTATCGATAGTTGACACATTTCTCTCAATGTTCCTGACTTGAACTCGAATTGTGCCTGATTTCCACTCCTAATTGAGGCCCTCCTCCAGAGACTGGAGGTGCTATAAAATTTAATTTATACACTCACCTATAATTCGCACGCATTCTTATGTATATACACACCCAACCATGCTCGCTCTTGCCAGCCACCTCTGTAGCTGAGTTGCAAGAGCATTGCACCGGCATCGGGAAGGCGTAGGTTCGATTCCTTCCAGAGGACCTATAGTTGACACATTTTTCTCAACTGTTCCTGGCTTAGCTTAATGGCGTGGCATGTCCATATATGGACGCATCACGACATTTATTCGCCATTCACTTTCTCTTTGACGTCCACGTCTTCATGCTAAATCTGCCTAATGGTAAATGTAATACCATACCCCACGTCTATTATATTAACAATAACTCACTCTGCTCGCTTTCGTGTTAAACATTTTTCTGCGTTTGTAAAAAAAAATCCTTCCGTGCATATGTGAAAAAGAGATGAACTGTGTCTTGTTATATTGCCTGCTAGGGGAAAGCATTTTTAACCAGTTTTGACCGCCACCTTCTTAACGTGTGCATGCTTGCCAAGTGCTACGTAAAACTCTTCTTCAATTCAAGTCGAGATTTTTTTCAAAATTACCTAAAAGTTGTCGATGATAACATTGGATACCTTGTGTTTGGGTTTTCTGAAGTTTACGAGCAGTGTTGTAGCTACTGTATATTTGGCAAGAGAAAGTACGAATTTTGTCGTCTGATCACAGTAGCCTTAACCGAAATCCACTGCATAGATTAACAGTAGAGAGCTTTAGATTTGACTATGGCTCTCGCTACCGAGATCGTCATATTGACGTGATATTCGTGTTGACGCTATATACTCGTAGCCGTCGGTCATCTGACTACAGGTGTACGTCACTACATGAATTAAAAAGCAATAAAATTGGATATTTTCTCTTTGAGAGAACTGTTTTCCATGACCGTGGCTCTGATTATGTGTACTCTCGAAATGGTAAGAATAGATATTTCCGAAATATTTGACAGTATATAAAAACATGCGTTTCATTATTGTGTTCGCCAAGGTTTACCATGCCGGCACGAAGTGGCGTATGCATACAACGTTTGTTTCGCGCCGAATCTCGTACCTGTAGCAGGAGCCGTAGTCAAATCTAAAGCTCTCTAGTATGACGATCAGTGGCGGCGCCAGAATAAAATGAGGGGCGGGGGACAATTGAGCTTAAATAAATATTTTGGGATAAGATATAAGTGAAGCGAACATCGCATTAAACTATAAACTACTTACGTTACATGTGAATATCTAGGGGACAGACAACTGTTGGGAAATTGGGGATAAAATGCCTCCTCTCCTCCCCCTCCCTGAGCGCTGCTACTGATGACAATAAAGTTTTTATATAGTGATAGTGCATATGACATAGTGCATATGATATAGATGATATCACACGGGACCGGACGAATTTGAGACCGTGCTCGAATTCGTCTCGTTTCCTCGTGTGAACACCTCAAGTACGAGTCCAAATTCGCCCTTTCCCGTGTGAACGTGGCCTAATATTTACGAATTGTATTCACCGATGAATATGGGTGATGTATACCAAAAATATCTACGGCGGCAGCGAACACGAATGATGCGCTATTGCGATACGCCGTTTGAATTTGCGGTCTAACTAACTTATTCATTCTTTTTTTCAGAACAGGAAGAAGCTGCCAGACGAGCGAGAATACAAGCACGACTGCAGGGAAAGCAACTGGATAAATCAAAGACAAAGACGAATACTGAAGATGTTAATAAAGCTGGTGAACGAACCCAACAAACTTCTGCAATAAATAAACATACACGGAGAGGTTATGACTCGACTTCTTCTATATCCAAAAAACAGTCAAAACACAATTTAGCTCAAAAGAAAAAGTCCGAAGATGAAAGACAACTTTCAAAGTCGAAAGAGAATGAAAAGTTGAAAAATTCGTCTCAAGAAAGGACTAATACGACCATAGAAAAGAAACATATTGGAAAAGTTAAAAAACCTCCACCACCAAATTTGAGTTTTCAGGAATTGATGAACGTTGCTAAAAAACAGGCGGATAATCCCGAAGCGTTCCGAGCTGTGAACGAGCAAACATCGGGAAACGATAGTCGGGAGAGAACACAAACGAATGATCAATCCATGAACGATTGGAGAAATGAGGAAATAAGAATTCCAGGGAAGAATTATAAAGGTACTGGTAATAATGATCGAAAAAAAGACACAGTTTCGCAAGATAAACAAAGTTCGAAAAAGACGGAGAAAAAGTTACCAGAAAGTAAACATACAAAAGGAAAAAACTCCGAAAGACAGGATCAAATATCATCGGAAATTCGCCATCGGAAAGCTCCGTCGACTGTCGATCGAAAAGTCTCAAAAGGAAATAATCCAAAATTGTCTAAAAATTCAAATGTAGATTTGAGGGGTAAAACATTTCAGAAACCAAAAGTGATGACGATAGAACGTGAAACAATTTCTCAGAAAGACTATGGCACGCCAATGAAATACCAAGGACATAAAGAATATTTTCAACGTAAAAGACGACACAACCCGTACGAGGAGGAAGAGGAAGAGGATGATGACTTTATTGATGATAGCGAGGAGGCACCAGATACTATTTCTAGTTACATCAAGGAAATTTTCGGATACGACAAGAATAAGTAAGTAGCTACATATGTACTGCTTTTTTCTCAGTATCAGGCTTAAACCCTGATTTACGGGAGAAATTTTCATGCGAGTCGCGAAATATTTCGACTGCGCCTTTTGAATTTTGAGCAGAATTAATTTATTTATTCAAGTGGGCGCAATTCAAAAGAAACTGAAATTCGGCGGAATTTTTTGCATTTCGCCGAGAAAAATCACCAGTGGAATAAGGGCACTAACTTGCTGGGTTAGGTTCTCGTTTTGCGAAAGGTTTACAACCAATATAAGTTAGCTCGAATTGTGGTTTAGAATCCTCTTGTATTATACATGATCTCAAATGGGCAGTTCCCTGCATCCTAATTTTGCATCCTTGCATTAAGATACTGCTGTCTACAAACGATGTTGCGATGAAATGGTTTGCATGAATTTCCATGGATATGCAGAGATGTAGCTGCACCTAATTTTGTTTGGCATTCAATTGGGCAAACTTGATTTCGATGAGTAATTTTTATTTTGAAATTATTCTATCATTTCTTGCTGTTATGAAATAAAAAAGGTATCGTTGAAAAGCTAAATGACTGTTCTTTCAGTACTGCGTAAGAATTTAAAATAATTGTAAGGTTGCTTAGGAATAGTAGCAAAAGACCCCATTATATTAACTTTAGCGGGCTTTGCGGTGTATTTTGCGCGCTAAAATTATAAATTTGCTGGGCTGAAATATTTTTAATCCCGCTGATCTAAACCAATCAGAAGAATGACTGAAGTGCTTACCTGTTGCTTCATTTGTTATACAAAAATTGCCCTTTAAAGTTAATATAAGTTCAAAGTCGGGCCAAAAAATCAATGAAAGAGAATCCCCAATTTGTGAATACCTAGTATTAATTCAGGTTCTAACAACGGGTAGTTTTTGAGCATTTAATAAACACTATCCGGTATAAAACGCCTTATAATATATAATATAACGCCTTAATCCAGCTTTCGTACACGGACCCCTGTATTCGACGCATGCGCAAAGCATTATCTCATCATATGTGTGTCTGTTAAGGTTTCGTGGTCGAGATGAAGATACTAGCAACATGGAGTCAAGTTTTGGCGACATTCAAAGAGAAGAAGCAAAAAGGTAAATACCGTAGTTTTTTAGCATCAAATGTGGTATAACAACTGCCTAAAATAGACAAAACACTTCTCGACGTTTCGACATGAGGGCCTTCGTCAGGAGAAGTTGTTTAGTATCACGTCAGGGCTTATCATATAAACGCGGGGGCTCAAGTTCGACTCCACAGGACTCTTAATCGCAACTACATTTCCAAGGCGAGATTGCTGCTGGACCTTTTTTGCATCACTCGTTAGAACTCTAGTTCTTCACGATTTTTACATCGGTGTTTTCTGGTATTAATGATCTAAAAATTGTCGAAGCTCTTCCCCCCACCAGAGAAGGTTCATCCGCGCGCCATATTACAGTAGCGTCTATAAACTAGATCTTGGCCGCTGCCGATCGATCGCCGATCGGTAGGGATGGAGACGGTAACACGGAGATGTGATCGAGCGAAACGAAGCGATCGAGCTAGACGATGCGATCGTGTTAGATCAGGGAGTGCGAAGGTTCTCTAAGACTTCCTGCTCAAACGCGCACAAAAAGTGTTGGCTAGGAGCTAGGCAAGTCGTATTTATACTGAGGGTAGGATGTAATACAGGGGAGCCATAGGCCCGGTCTCGTGACAACTGCAATAACATCTCTTCGGCATAAACTTCCTTTATTATCAATAATAAAATTATATTTCACGGATAATTTGCTTCAAATAGTCTGCATCCTATTTTATTGATTTCGCGGTCCCGAGATCGCTTCGACGTTTCTCGGTTACTTGAGGATTCTCAAAAACATTTTCATCATCTTACGATTATTTTGGTGTGTTCTCGGACACTCCTGTTAGTGTGTTCTGAACATCTATGCTGTGTGTTTGTTACGTCGGTTTTCGATCGAACGAAATTTCTCGCTCGATTTTCTTTTCAATTGTGACCGATCAAGGGCATGCGCCGTGGTGGATTTCTCACAATTGAAAAGAAAATCGAGCGAAAAATTTCGTTCGATCGAAAAATTTGCTTAGTGGAAAACCGGATTTAACATGCCTTTTGAGATGCTATTTGCATACCTTATATATGCCCTTCAAAATAATGAACTATATGATATACGCCTGTATTCTAAAAGCTCACTCACACTCAAACTCATTGAGTGGGAGATCTTAATCTTCTCATAACGTTTCAATGGCGGTATTTCAAGCCGAATAGGAGCTTGATTTTCAGTGATTTACCTTATATCTTTCCATGTATTCAGAGAAAACTTTCTCATTGATCAGCATTAACAAAATATATATGTCACACTCAATGAGTGTGAGTGTGAGTGAGCTTTTTGAATACAGGCGATAGTCTATGATATAGTCGGGGGCACCTCTATAATGTTTGAAGTTAAAAATACCACAAGGTTTTCTAGGCACTCTTCAACGTTGATTGGCTTCTATTGTAAAATTTGCTATCAGGAAATTATGTATACAATTTTCCTTTGGTGTACTGGCAAAATTTTGCATCAGTGACGTGCGTGTTTCCTTAAGCCGCGTTAAGACGAGCGATTTTTGTCAGCTATTTTCTTTTTCTAGCGTATGATAGGCGTTTTAAAGTAATCTACTATGTTAAATACAGTAGCGGATTTAGGGGTGTGCAGAATAAATGACTACAGCTAAAAATCGGAATCGCATTGGCAGATTTTAATATAAAAATATTCCTTTCAAATCTATAACTAATACCGCTGTCATTAAGGTGTTTTGAATTTAAAATTAAGCTGTGTAATTTATTCTGCACACCCCCTAGATCAATGGCATACACCAGAAAGAAAAAACGAACGTCAAGAATCACCCATGTCGCCAAGCTTTTAACAATTTGCACGAGTACCGCACTCAAGTATGATTTTTCTTGTTCTTTTTGTATAGTTTACGAATCGCTAAACTTGAAGATGAAGTTGAAAAATTGAAAGAAAGTTACGAACTCAACAACAACAACAACAACAGAAAAAAAGGAAAAAGTTAAAACGTTAGCTCCTGCTTTAGCTGGGTGACTGAAAAATGGTAAATTTTAAGAAGATATTTATTGTTCATTGTGTCATATTACTATAGTCTCTGTGGTGTAGTATCATGCTGTAATGACGTTTTGGGGTCGGCTGTATGAAGCCTGTTTACTTTAAAGCCCTGTTACACTGCAATAGACCTTATGCATAATGACGTAACAAGCTGAGATACCTGCAGGGAATTCTGGTCTTAGTAGTCACGGCCGGAAATTTTGAAGTTTGAATTTTTCGCAGAATTCCCTGCAGGCGTCACGGCTTTATAATACGTCCGTATGCGTAAGGTATATTTGCAATGCAATGCCACCTTTTAAGACATGTAAATTAGTGAAAAGTTTTGAAAATGTAAATGCGGAGGGTCCTTGAAGTGTAGTAAGTAGAACCGTATTGCAAGTTGCAAGAAAATTTCCACGAAATTTCAAAACGAAATTCTTGCTTGATCAGCAAGGAAGTGTTATTTATAATTAGCTTACCTGCCGTTTTAGCTAAACAGGCTTCGCGCTACCGGCCCTTTTATATATTTTTATTTTGGAAATAAGTGACAAGATTGAATTTCAAATTTGCGTTATGCGACCGTTAAATACCTATTTCACTTGCTGTGGTAGCTTTCAATCTTCTCGTCAACCATATCACATATGAAACCGCCTAAAGTAGTAGTGGGATTGGAAAATAGCAGTAGCATAAAATATAAGAAAGAATAATGACAAGAAATTACATTAAGTTAAATGCGCTTGAAATAGGAGAATGTAATACGCTGAAAAACACTCAAATGTTTTACACTATAGAAAACAACAATTCCTTCCTCTAAAGTATGTAAAACTGACGTTCTAAAAGAGTTTTTAATCGGATGTCTTTCTCCTACAGATTTTTCACCATTGCTGCAAATCACCCCCAAAGCCGGTTTCGCATGACTCTGCTTAAGAAAGATAATTCCGTAGCTAATACCACCGCTCTATAGAAATCCGTTTTTATTTCTGACAAATGTCTAAATGTGCGTCATGAACTTGTGATAACATTCCTCCCAGATGTTGGTCTCAACACAGTGAGTGGGAGACCTTTGTGGAAAGCGTGTGTGGAGAGTTCCCGATTCCTTTTGAACATTTGTAGCATATCAATCCACCTCAACTCCTATTTTAGGCGTAATATACTGCATGTAATTCAATTGTATATGTTGCCAAACTTCACATTCCAGATATTTTCACGCCATTTACTACAAATACAATACGTGTCCCAATGTCCCCTATAATACAAGAAACGCAAATTATTTCGCCCAGCAGTATTTCGCAAAAAATTGTGTTCTCCAGCCTTGGGATCAACTGATTTAGTTGACACTCTAGAGGAGAGAGGTGGACTAACTTTGCGCATATAGGAAACAGCTCACGTTGGTGAGATGAGTTATTTGGGAGTTTTAGCTGTGACTACGAGTACGAGATTCGTCATTCTCGCGCCAAACTCGGTGCTTCTCACCAGGCGATCTGACAAAACCATCGTACTCGTACCATCAAACTCGTACTCAAAAGCTCGGTAAATACGAGTTTTGGTAAGCAAACAACGCACGAGAATGACGAATCTTGTACTCGTGGTCACTGCTCCCCATTACCTGGTTGACGAATTACGAACACAACATTACAAAAAGAGCTAAATGTATCTCCTAATATTCACAGCGGACTACACAACTCAGTCTCTTGCATGTATATAGACTCTGCCAATATAATGCTCATGTGGGCAGATATGTTTTTGGCCCGTGTTTAGGACGCATTTTGTGAGTGAAAACGTGTTATGGAGGGCCAAGTGCATATTACGGCCAGCATTAACTATTGATGACAAAATAAGGTCATTTGGTGGTGTTACACAGCCATGAAAAAAATTTTCATAAAACGCAGTGTCATTGTATAAAGATTTTGGCCACAGCGAAACGTCGTGTATAGCCCCGGTGAAAAATATCCTATTTTCAACGAATTACGACGCTCCTTATAACTGACAACAAATTCGTCAAAAATTTTCAGCAGCCAGTTTTTAAATTCATTTGTATAAAGTTTTGAAAACGCCTAAAACTATGGGTGAACGATTCAATTAGATTAATGAAAAGGATGTCTAAGAGTTCAATGAAACCAGAGTTGCAAAAAGAGTTCAACCTTCCTCCGGCAGGATTTCAAGTTTTGAGACCTTCCTCAAAATGACGTTACGACACTGAGTCAAATTGCAACCAGCATAAAGAGATTTTTTTGGTTTTTTGGTACATGCATGTGATCAATTGGATTGTTCAACTTTGAATCTTCCTCAAAAACCTTATTCAAAGCAAACCTTCCTCCGGGTGGCACCCGCGTACCCGCAGCTTTTTTGCAACTCTGAATGAAACAGGATAATCAAAATACTAAAGAAAAAACAGAACAAGACGTCAATTTAATTCATTCCTATATCGCAAGTGCATGAAGCTGGACGCCATGTCAACAAACCGACAAGAATGGAAGAACTATCGCCATCTCAACTCGATACATATTTAAGCTAATTTCTAATTTTCGTTGATATAATAAACAGATTAACACATGGGTGCTTGAAAATATGAAATTTATTTCTCGTGTTGAAAGCGATATCTCATTTATATGACTTTCAACACTCGAAATAAATTTCATATTTTCAAGCACCCATGTGTTAATCTCTATATATAAACACGAACCCGAGCCCCGCAACCAAAGTTATCGTAACCAAAGCAAGCCAAGAATAATTCCAGATTCGGTGCCTTCATCTATATACGGTAAAAACGGTCAGACCGGTCCTGTTGAATTTCATTACACCTTACAGATATAGATTACTGGTACTTTATTTAGAGTGTACAAGAACATGCATTCAAGTATATCGTTATTTACATCTGTCTAGCACGAAAAATGCAGTTTCACCGCTTTATTTTTAACAAAATACTCAATTTCAATTCAAAATATGACCGGTTTGACTATTTTGAACGCTTAAAGAAAAGCACCCATACTTTTCGTTTTGTGATCCTCGACCTCATGAAGTAAACTTATTATACATCTCTTTATTTGGATATATTTGTGCTACCCTCAGATCCCTATTCGCCAGAGGGCTGTGGACGTGACATGACTTTAAGGTATTGAAATAAGTATAAATAACATGACACAAGCGTTGCATGGTGTAGTCATTCTTGAGAGTAGCGTGTATTTGTTTGTTTTTTCAGAAATGATTTTCTGATTTTTATCTAATCTATCTCATTTTTATTCCTCGGGCCTGTTTCGGTATGTTTTCACTAATTGCATGAAAATGCAACAAAATGCAGGCCAACAACAATTAAGGTGTGCCTAATAAAATAATCTAATTAGAAGTATTTTGTTCGGAGTGCTAGTAAGTTGGCTGTGACATCATATGAAAAAACTTTGGTCCAAATAAGGTTTTTTGTTATTTTAACCTATCAGTTTTTACACGGAAATTAACCTCGAAGGTGTATATACAGTATATACTCACCCCCTGGAGGAGGGGTTTGTATGGTGCTTCGAGGATAAATTAAAATTTAAAAGGTCCTGCATGTTCGTATTTATTGTAAGCCACCCAAAAGATATGACCTACTTAGTGTATATACATGGGCCGTTATAACTTATAACTTGACATTGCTTTCCTGATATTCCCCAAAGACAGGTATTTCATGAATGATCTTGGAATATGAAGCAGAATTTCATGTTTGATTTCATTTTTTTATTATTAAATTTTTTTATTAATAAAATTATCCTGCATGTTAATGCTTTTAAAACCTACCTCAGTATATCCTTGTTTTACTGCACCCCATGCGTGCATGCCTATTTTTGGTTATTCATAAATTTTGCTTTCTGCCCCCACCCGCGGTTATAAATAATGACCGGGCCTAAATATAGCCAAAGACTACAGCCATGATGAACAATCGGTATTTTCAATTTCATAGCTAGTGGTTCCAAAACATGTCCCAAGCCTGTTTTTCTGGGGTATATTTACTTAACGTTAGGATGTGCAGAAATGCCGATGAAAGAATTTTGTTTCACAAACCCTATAATACTATAACACACGAAGTTTATGATATTTATTTTAATCCGTTTATCCATCCTTTAAATGCTTTAAATTTTAATTAAATGGCCGAGATCCTGTCGAGAGTCGGCCAATTGCATGAGAGATTTTGAATTAATCCAAATGGAATCACCTCAATAATATGCAATACATTTTTCATCAGCAACATATGGCTACGGTAAAATACATTTACTGAAAGCACTGATTGATGTATAAGTTCATTCCCCTTGCAGCATTTATCAGTTATAACTTTATCGGTATCGAAATTTTAAACCCCTTGGGAATTAAGTAAATGTCAATCATTAGCTACCTAATGTGCTGTATAACTGCCGTGAACAATCGACCTCCTAAAATACCCATTTGACCCTTACATCAAAACGTACCGAAAGCGCTTAACTTACAGTATTATCATACTAAAGCGGTAAGGATTAACATTGCTATCAACTTGGCACGGATACGAGTTCCAGACAACCTGATGCTCTTAGCTTACAGCTTATAATTCTCAAAACATATTGGTCATCACTCCCTTAATATACTTTACTGGTTTCACGATAAAACTGCAATACCCGACTTGGAACGACTTGTATAGAGCGGTAAACATGTTGACTGTACCCAATCGGAAAGACTCCGTACCGCAGGGGAAAAGCGATGTGCGAATTTTGGTTCTTGGTTCACAAAACGTTGGAAAGTCGGGTAATGTGTTTAATTATGGTTTAATGTTCCATATAATGTTATTAACACTAGAAACTAATAACAAAGTAGAAACTAAATATTCAGTTTGTCTTAAAAGATTTTTTCGTTTGCTCTAAAATCTGATTGGAGTTCAAAATAAGCGTATAGCAAGATCAACACGAACGTTCGCGCGGTGTAACTAGTTTATTTTGTGGTTTAAAAACGGCGCGGTTACATGATGTGCAATCAGGCTATCATTTATGGTGTTGTAATATCCTGTAGGCTGTAAGTGCACTTAAATCACTCCTAAAATTGCCATTCCTCAGCATAGGCTACTTAAATAAGTCAACATATGTTTGCAATCTGTAGACCGTTTCTTGCTATGCCTATGTAATTTTCAGGTAAACATTTGCACTATCTAACCGGTATAAAAGATCTGACTCATGGTGCAGAGAAAAAACATTGCAATTTGCAACCTCTGTCATTTTGACGCTACGCGCAATCCATGTTCGGCATGGCTGTCTAAAAAAGTTGTATTTATAGATCAAACGGAAATGAACATATGAATTTCAAACTTTTGCTTTAGGCCGGCAAAACCTTTGGTAAAATTTCACTGAGCTTCATTCGACTCATTGTCTGGTCTTTCATGCTGTATGTATAGCTAGCTTGTTTTCAACCTTAGCCGTATAACGGATAACCATGCAGTACAACCGACGAGTTCGTTACCAACCCGTTATAGGCCCGTTTACGCTTGCGATTTTTGCTGCGATATTATGTGCAAGCGATTTTCTTCTTTTGACAGATGTGAACGAGTAAATTAGTTTCATATGCTTTGATGTGTACGAGCTCCTATTTGAACATCCGTAACTAATTCACTCGTTCATATCTATCAAAAGAAGAAAACCACACATAAAATCGAAGCAAAAAATTGCTAGTGTAAACGGGCCTTATCACACGTATATATATCGTTAATTATATTTTATGATGTGTAATGTAGAGTAATTTGTATTGTACTACCTATTTTTGTGTTGTTTGTTGTGTTTCGGTCATTTGTTAGTGTATTTTGTTTTATTGCAGTTAGTGAGTTTGATTAAAGCCTGTAATAAAAATCTGATATTGGGTTATAGTGATAACACAATCCTTTCCGGGCATGTTATATCAAAGTATATAAGCCGCATGCATCGAAAGCTGGCTTTAGTTTACATTGTGAGGTGGAAATTGGCATTCCTGTATACGCTCAAGGCCACAAGCCAGTGTTGTTGAACTGATCAGGAATTCAAATCCGGGAGTTTGAATCGTTCGAGAACTTCAGTTGCGAACAACTTTCTGAATGTTTACAAACTAGATCAGTTTTGATTATCTATAAAATTACGGCTTCTCCATAAAACGGGGACTACAACCTCTTCATGCATGGAACAGATGGAAGAACTACTGATTAGCTATTATAGTTGCTCACCACTTCACTTCGATCGCCTATTTAAATGTTTCCTAAGTTCCGATTAAATACAGCTTCCTGTTTTTCTTGAAATATTCAGCAAACATGTACATAGATGGGAATGTTGCAACTTTTGCGACAGTTTAGCGCAATTCGAACTCCGCGTGTATAAAAAAAACTTTGTTTTGCTAATTTTAACATTCTGCCTGCGTTGGCGTCAATTGCAAGCTTTCTAATCTCTTCTGGAGACAGACAGCTGTGCAAAATACCGACCTTAGTTCAATACTTTCTTAATCATTCACAAAGTATAGCCCACTCTTCGATTCAGAAAGATAATGTATATATATAAGCATTAGCTATAGGAAATTTAGGAATGAGGAAACTTAACTAGCCCTAAGCCATGATAGCTAGCTGACTGATAAGTAGGACAGCTGCAAATTCTACTATATAGCTATCGATTGCGCTGTATTGGTACAAACGATTATAAATACGTTCATTTTGTATACCGAACATTATGTATGATACCTGTTTTTAATCTGTAGTATCAATGATAACTGACTTCGCTGAGACTCTGACAGACAAACAATACATGTCTTTTTTCTATTTCATTCGTCAACCTCCCACTGTTCCTTTTCTCATGGAATTGTCTAGCACTTTGCATTCAGGCATACCTGTTTTGTTTTGAAGACAAAATAAGTGCATGTTGACTTCGTTGAAAAAAATGTGAGTCGAAATATATCAGGGATTTATTATACGTTCTGCAATTTCACCACTAAAATTTTGAAAAGCACCTTATGGTCTATTTTACGTGCCGGAAACTGAGATTTCCTGGGACTGCATCCCTGAGATATAAATGGGCACATATCAATATTACCATGGAGCATGCCTAAAAGATAGACAAAAACACTTCTCGACGTTTCGACGTAAGGGCCTTCGTCAGCAGAGTACGATGACACTCCAAACAAAGGTCAAAACTTCATAAGTGTTTTTGTCTATTTTAGGCAGCTCGCTGTTTGTACCACATATGATGCATATAGCATTATAAGACAACAAATAAATTATTCCGGCGTTGCCGCGAGTTGGATTTAGACACACATTTCCTGATTTAAGAAGTAAAAGCAGTTAATTGGTACGAAACTTTAGCTTCTAGACTATTAAAGGCTGAATTAAAGTAGCTATAGCATCAATTTTTTTATTGTTCAACTCTCTGTCTCAAAACGGTAAATTAAAGTAAATATTTTGTTTAAACAAGTGCACTAAAGCCAGGGCAAGGGGGGTGAGCTGCATTGGTTGCTTAAACCGCCCGCTTTACCTGAAATAGTTTAATTAATTGAGTTGATTGCACACGGTTTATTATTTGAAATAATATTTTGATATACGATTGACGATTTATAGCCCCCGCGCGTGGTTAATATTCCGCATTCTTGGTTGTAGAGATATTTCTCACAGCACCTCCATATACAGGCGTACACCAATTGAATTGAGTGAAAATTTAATTTCTATCACCATGCTATTTTTCGTATATTTGGACGTCTCGGGTTTTTCAATCTCTTCTACATACATGAAGCAATTGACCTTTACTTAAACATCAAACTGTGACTATTTTCATCATTCCCTTCATAACATTCACAATTTGTTTGATTTTCCTGGCGAGACCCTGAGATTGAAGGCAAGCTGAACTCCGGTGAAGGCACGAGGCTCGGATTGGGACTGTACGAGTCCTCTTTTCGGTTTTTTATTAAGGCGGGTTTTTACTCACTTGATTTATTTAGGACTAGCAAACCTCAAAATATTTTTAAAAAAGTGCGGACAGCTGTGTCGAAATATTTTCTGTAGATGATATCCGATGAAAACCATACGCAACCTCAAAACTTGTAGACAATTAACTAGTCGACCCGATAACTAACGGCTGGCGTTCCTATGAACAACACGATTATAATTAAAAAGTCAAGTTTGCACATTATTTTATAATGAGCTAAATGACATACCGCTTCCTATAAGCGAGTCCAGATGACCTAAACGGTGTTTAGCTAATATCTTTTTTATTATAAAAACATTTGCTTAATTCTAGTGACGCGAAATCGTTAACCACAAACCATATTTCCATGCATTCGATAGGTATTAAACAAAACCGTCGAAGAAATACTGTTTCTGCATGTGCGTGAAATTGTTACACATCTTTAATCAATTTCAAAAGTGCTTGGGGCACTTGTAATTTAGAGAAAAAAATAGCTGCAAGCTTCATTTATCGCGGAATTATCAACTTTTCATGCCCCTTCTACCTGGACCTCTCCCGCTATTTGATTAGGGGGCGAGGGGGAAGCAAATTACTGCGAAAGCGAGTTTTTTTGTCTACCTGTTCCAAGACTTTTGAAACTGATTGTTTTTTGCCTTGTCGAAGTTTTACACTTACTTTGATCGGTACTCAATGCGCTCGGACAACAATTAATTAAGTAAAATATACTTCTATTGTTTGGCAGCATCAACATGATTCACAGGGCAAAGAGTCTCGCAAGGAGGGGGGAACTGGGGCCCTGTGCCCCCCTCCACACTTTTGCAAAATAGATTAAGATATACTTCTTTCATTCGGCAGATGCCCTTTTTTGAGTCATGGATATACTTATAATTATTGTAAATTAAAAAAGTACGAAACAGGAGTACATGATATAAACAGAGATTTGCAAGAAAAATAAGCAATTGAGTAAAACGACAAACTTTACTTTCACTTCTCTTCACCTTTGTATGGTTGTATTTAGTACATTTCGGTAATTTTATTACTTTATGAGAAAGCCCTTTTTTGTTGCCTCCCTCCCACCTCACTTTTTTAAATGGTTCCAGTGCCCTTGTTTTTTTTCCAATTTCACCTAAGTTGGCATTTCTTTGCCCTGGTTCATACGTCGCCTTTTGGTCGCGTCGAATGCAATTCAAACAGTAGAAAACGAGATGATAATGAAGCCTAATTAATGAGATTTACCATCTGATTTACTATGTTTGAATTGCATTTGACGAAAACAAAATACGACGTATAACCCAGGCCTAAGCATATAGCGCTAAGAACTATAGAGTATATATAGTCTTTAATACTGAAGATGGACTTTGATCGATATTCTTTTTTCTAGCTTTGACTGTCAGATTTTTGACCAAACGTTTCATTGGAGAATACGACTCCTCTCAAGGTTAGTGCATATAGATAATGAGAACGAGAGAAGGATAAACAGGACGTTGTTATATGTTTTTTTTCATGGAAATTTATGCACATATAGGCCTTCATCCATAAGCGACGAATGTATTGAATGGACGTCTTGCATAATAGACCAACTTTTGATTTTGGCGACAAAAAGGGAATTTCCGAAAGGCGTACTAAACCTAGTAAAATTGCCAAGTTTGGCTGCGAAATATTGTAAAATTCCCAAGATATAGGCAAGCGAAGTTGGAAAATTTGTATACATTTTACTATTACAGACCATGCAGTAGTTGCAGTAACGTAGCAGCCTGACGATTTGTCCCGCTATGCTAATATTTTGGTGGTCATTGACTGTGAAAACAATAAATTTCTAAAGAAATGAATGATTATAAAAACTCGAAATTTACATAGTGGGACAAAATCGTCAGGCTGGCTACGCCACTGTTACGGACGGAAGAGTGTAACTAAATTAACGAGGTCTTCATCTAATAGCGACTAATGGACTAAATTAATGGGTCGCTTAATTTATCGTCACGTGTTTGGTCACTTCGTTATGGTATTTCCGCTGAATTTACCTCCATATATGGAATACCATTGTCTTTCAATAGATCGAATTGATTTTTGCAGGAAGACAGACAATGGAGTAGCATATATTTTTGTGTCACCTATAGTATGGTCAGTGTAAGGTTTCCTACAGCCATCAAACAGAAACATATATTTTTCTACCTAGACTTCACGTACACATTTGAATCTTCAATCGACAATAACAAAGTATCAATGGAAATACTCGACGCGACATCACCGGTATGCAATATTGCTTTTTATTATATAATATGCAGTGTTTTATTGACGAACCGGCGTTCCGCCGCCATTTTGAAAAAGTGATAAAAACACATGTGCGATTATCGTGTTTCATTCACCGATCTGGAATCAGGAAGGGGGATAAAAAACTTTTCGAAAACCCAGTTTTTTTTATATAATAAACAGAATAATATATGCATGGATGCTTGGAAATATGGACTTCATTTCTCGTGTTGAGAAAGATATCTCACTCGCTCGCTGCGCTCACTCGTTCGATATCATTCACAACATTCGAAATGAATTCCATATTTCAGCGCATCCGTGTATTATTTTCTATATAACAATTAACCTGCTTGGTAAAGAGCGAGTAATTATTGAGACATGTTTCGAGTTACGCGAGAACGAGGCCAATATATTTCTTCACGGTTAAAATTATGTTTAAACATGAAAACATTTTCGGTTCGTTTTGGAATAAAACAAGATTTTATTTGTACACAGTTCAAAGATCACACAGTGCACAGATCACACAAAATGCTCTGTTGTTAGTAAAAAAAATCAGCATCAAATTCGAGTGAATTTCCCAACATGCAACACAAACCGAAAAATTCAGTCTGAATATTTAATGTTATACGTGCTTAAAATAGGCTTGGAATTTTTCTACCTCGGCACCATCAACCATGGTCCTGCCTCGCAACACATTCTATTCCTAACATTAACAAAACTAATTACACCGGTATAGAAAGCTCCAGAGGTCAGTTGTTCAAAAGACGGTAAACTTAACCTAGGGTTAAGACAAATCTGTACTGCAATTTTTTTTATCGCTTCTTTATAAAAGTTGAATATTTTTCCATGAGTATTTTCCGAAAAGGTGTCCTGCATGTTAGCTAATTTAAAATCATATTCAATGATTGTGATTAAATTAGATGAACGATTATCCGTTGAATTGCCTCAGGTCTTAATGATAAACAACGTTTTATTTATTATATAGCCAGAAAAAATAGCGGAGAAAGTATTATGGGCAGACGGATTTCTTCTCGTTTACTCTATAACAGATGTGAAGAGCTTCGATGAAGTTGTTAATTTGAAACATGAAATAGTCACATTAAGATCAAACTACCGACCGGCCATATTTATAGTTGGAAACAAAAGTGACCTCTCCAGCGAGCGCTGTGTGCCCAAGGAATTCGCCCTGCAAAGTGTGCAAGAATTGAATTGCCCTCTGTACGAGTGTTCAGCGTCGGAAAATTATGAAGACATTCTGCGAGTTTTTCATGAACTATATGGCGAGACTATCAAGAAAAAGAAAGAACGCAGATTGTCGATATCACCAAGACCACTAAGAAAAGCTTTTAATAAGGTTTTTGGAAGTAAGACCACTATTTAGAACTTACATGCAGAATCACTAGAACATATCTAATCAGTTTATTTTATAATTTCAGTTATACATAAGTTACCACACTCGTTTCATCAGCTTTTAAACCAAGACGTAAACGTTTAGCTGACTTTTTAAAAAAGTACGTTTTACCCGTGTGCGGGAGTTTGTTTTGACAGTGCAAAAAGTAGTTTAGTCCAGGCTTTGATACGGCATTATAAAGAACATACAATAGTCAATAGACCTACTTTTAAGTTCGTACATCGTATTACTCATCATTACCTATACTGTATTTTTCTTTATTTAATGCGAACGATTTAATTAACTGACACGCATGGCGTGTCGCTTTCGCCGTCCAACAACAAGAAACAACGGGACACTTCAATTTCGAATGTAAATCTCTGTCGTTTAGGAAAATAAGCTAAATACGTCTTAAGGTAAAAATCACGTGCCACGTTTGGCCTATTTTAAGATCGCTGGCTGAAAGTTTGCCCTTTCTGTAGTCATGAGTGAAATAGTGAACAAAAGCCCTTGCGCACGCGTTGAACGAACTTTTACCCAGCTTTCACTTTCTCGTAAATATTCACGCAGTATTATTTGTTGAACAGATATATATAACAAGTAAAAGCCTCAGTAAAGGAACTGATTACTTAGTACATGAAGCAATTTAAACTTTCTTAATTTCAGTATAATAAAAAGTAATGAACACTAAAGTTTCCGTATATTGTTCGACAGTTATAACAGTATTCTGTCCATAGACATCTTTCAGTGGTGAAAAAGTTTTGTTTTTCGATTTGTAATCGAAAATTTCAGACCAAAATTGCACGACACGAAATGCAATAACTATTGTATAAACACATGCAAATTTGGATCAGTTGGACATATTAATTTGCCTGAAGTCACAATCGAGTTTTATAATACTTTGAGTAATTAAAATCGAACGGAAAACACAATATTATATTAATCAAATTGAAAAGATGTATAATGCCCTAGCGAGGCAGCACACTATTCTTGACGAACGGTGGTTTCGCCCCCAGTCCACACGCGCGAGTTATGTAAATTCGTCGCTTGAGATCACAGCAGTTTAGTTAAAATACATTTCAAAATGTCGATCTCGTTAGTCGAAATGACTATTTTTTGTATTTTTGAGCCTATATATAGCGCTTTTGAAGCATTAGAGCATTTCAAACATCCAGTTTCACAAATTAAATAACGATCTTTTAAAAATGAATACTGTAAGAAAATACAAGAAAAGCTTAAACTAAAATCATTATCAGAAAATGAGATCACAATAGGAAAATGAGTCATAATAGCTTAGTCGAAATAGGTTTCAAAATGTTGATCTCGCTCATCGATTGTTGAGCTCATATGACTTTTACCATGCCATGACTCGTCGAAATATTAAATATCTAATTTGTCAGGTATCTAATATTTCTATGTCGCCATTGTACGTCACTACAATTAACAATGAAGTATACCCAGATTCCCAAACCCATGAGAACTCAGATTACTTTGCAATTTTACATGACGTTTTTGCGTCTTTCAAGGATCAATACATAAGAATAATCTCACTTCACTGTGAATCTAGTCCTGGCTAACAAGGATCATATAAAAAACGAATTCAGAAAATTCCGCATGCTGCCTTTTTCCTTGGCCTGACCGGGGATGTTAAGGAAGCAATTTCCTTGCGATAGTAACTCCTAGTAAATATTTGGAGAGTGTTTCAGCCTCTGAGATAACTGCTCCAGGCTGTTTTTCGCACAAATTAATTAATCTCACAATTTCACTATGTTATTAAGTTACACAATTAATATGTCGAATTTCACAAGACTAATTAATTTCTTTAGGCCTACTGTTAGAAATGATAGCCCAGTTCACACTACACTCAATTTTGTGGCACGGTATGGCTAAAATGGGTACCCGTGCGGATTTTATCTGTGCTCGGCCTTTGTTTTGGTAGCCTAAACACTAAAATAATTGAGGACAGGTGCCAATTTTAGCCGAGCCGTGCCAATAAATTGATTGAAGTGTAAACAGCGCTTATAACAAATAGAGATTTGAATTTTGAATCGTGTCGACGTCTGTTTTGAAATCAAGAAGCCTTCTTAAGACGTCAATATTAATGAATCAGTTTAATTACATATGCGTTATTTAAGGCGCTGTTACACGCAGTGTGCAATTTTCTTTCCAACAAGCAATGCAATTATAAATTTGAGGCATAGTAATTAGTAAAGAGTGTTTGAAATGTTAAGAAAACATTGGCAGATCGTACGAAATATTACCATTTGACTACTTTAGATGCCTCAGGAGTAGATTTGCATTGCAAGTTGCAAGGAAGGTTGCATAGGGTAATACTGCGTTTAATGCATCAGTTTAATTTCAAGAATCAGTTGAAATATAAAATTTATTATATGCGTCATTTATTAATATTTCACGAATCAGTTTAATTACACAATGAAAAGCATAATTGATGCATATTTCAGCTGTTAGTATTCTGCTGTTAGTATTTTGCTGGTAAACATCACAGTCGTAAATATAAAAAATCATGGTGTTTTTACTTTCAATTAACACACACTAGCATGATCTGCACTGGCACAATCTACAGGTAAGCTTATCAATTGTCTGTTGTTGTTCTCAATCTCTGAGCAAATATCACAAATGGTGAGTAAAACTTTCCACATGCACACATCATGTCCGTTGTTCAGAATTGAAAGAGCGACGAAGCAATTTCAGTTTCCAACAGGGAAACTACATGTACTGTAAATAAATCTTTATTGAATGTTCAAATAAATCAATCTTCACCTTAGTAAAAACAATAACTAAAGAGTCTATAACTCAAGTTTAAACCGTGATTCAATAACTCATGAATGAAATTCGCAATCCAAACGATTAACAAAATCAATGCAGGCAACGAGAATTGAAAGTCATGAGCGCGTTGCCGGCGTTAATGTAAAACTTTGTATTGGTTCAAATGGCGTTCTCTACATGGCGTAAGAAAATGGATGACTGGAAAGGGTACAATTCATAAATCTGTTTACCCACACCTGACGATTGTAACCAATAATTGAGGAAGCAAAATAAAGATTTTAAACAAACATAAACATCCTTGTGATTTTTATTCGAAATCATTGAGACTTATTATATAAAATAAACTAATAAATATAAAGAATCCAGTGCTGAGCAAACACTGTCCATGCACAGGGGCGTACGAAGCATCCAGAGTTAGGGGGGCACCAACTTCCAGGGGCATTTTTGGTTAATAAAAAAAGCAGCTAAAAATATGTATAGGGACGGCTTGATTGTCAAAGCTGGAAGGACACCACCAGCGTGGTTTATATTTATGCTCTACTGGGGTCAGTTGTATAAAACGTTTAATTGTATTTAAGAGAAGAATTGACCAATAAGAATCGTGTATTTGGGAGTTAACTAGGATTTAACTGTGCAAAATGTAGTTAATAAATTTTTATACTACTGGCCCCTGAAAGATTGGCTTGCGTCGTGTAAGTGGGCATGCGTAGGATACAAAGGGGGCAACTTTGGTTTTAAAATAGTATTTAATTGCAGCTACATACCCATCAGCTTCTCCAAAAATTCCTCTTGAAACAATTTTGGGCGGGGGCTGTGCTCCCCCGGTTCCTACGCCCCTGCCCATGCATGCAAAGTCTATGGTTGAGAGGATTCTAAGTTTACATACTTTAACGCAACGTATTTAATAAATATAGTCAAACTCGAAAGTTATTATGTGTGGATGAACAGCAAAATGGTACACAAACGACAGCTAATTTCTACTAATATGAAGCTCGCTGCTTGTAACGCGTCTTTTTTTCTAAATTTCAGAAAAACTAACAAATAACAATGTCCAACATTGTTTCTGAAATGTCATTTTTCATTTCTGACCACGATGTACGTTCTGCTAGTCATCGAAAGAGGTGAAGAAAGTGGGAAAATAATTTTTGTTTTAATTCTACTTTTGAAGGTAATTGTGGTAAATCTCACTGCTTTAGCTATATCAGGCAGCTGTTGCGTGATAAAGGTCAGGTTTAGCCGGAAGTGGAAAGGTTATACAAGACTTACATACATGATACATCTATGTGTGTCATGGTGCATGTACCTCATGCGGAAACATTTTTTTTTAAGATTTTAACATCATAATATAGGGATAATTTTCATTTTTTTGTACCAGTAGGTATTGTTGTTGTGGTAGCTACTCGTCAGGTTGGCCGAGCGGTCTAAGGCGCCAGACTCAAGAACGTGGTGAGGAATTCTGGTCCACAATGGTGGGCGTGGGTTCGAATCACAAACCTGACAATTTTTCACTATTACTAAATTAGTACTCCTATGATATTGTTTTAAAAAATATTTTTTGAAATTACTTCTGTCAAATTTGGACATGTAAGAAAAAGTTTTTTGGCTGGTCAAAATTTCCTCACACCTCCAATCGTGAAAAAGAAAGTGAAACATTCAAAAACGTTAATGAAGATGAGAATACACTAGGCACAATATTTTACAATGGATATAAAGTTCCAATCCGGATTAGCATACTTTTCTACAAATAAGAAAGATACTCAACCATAAGAATGTAATGCATTTTGCACAGGCAATAGTACTCGTAAATGGGAAAGTACCCTTTGCATTACGGAAATTTTTGGCAGCAACGCTTTGTCGGTAGCGTGGCCGAGTGGTCTAAGTCGCTGGTTTAAGGCACCAGTCAATTCGATGGCGTGGGTTCGAATCCTACCGCTGCCATATTTCATGCAATTTTAGGATTACTGTCCCGTCTATTTTATACTTAAAGAGTAATGCAATAAACTTTGCTCAGTTATGTAGAAACAGGGTTTGCCAAATTGTGATAGCTGCAGCCTTAGGTAGCGTGGCCGAGTGGTCTAAGGCGCTGGTTTTAGGCACCAGTCATTTAGATGACGTGGGTTCGAATCCCACCGCTGCCACTGTCAGGGTGCATGTACCTCATGCGGAAACATTTTTTTTAAGATTTTAACATCATAATATAGGGATAATTTTCATTTTTTAATACCAGTACGTGTTGTTGTTGTGGTAGCTACTCGTCAGGTTGGCCGAGCGGTCTAATGCGCCAGACTCAAGAACGTGGTGAGGAATTCTGGTCCACATTGGTGGGCGTGGGTTCGAATCCCACACCTGACAATTTTTCACTAATACTAAATTAGTACTCCTATAATATTGTTTTAAAAAATACTTTTTGAAATTACTTCTGTCAAATTTGGACATGTAAGAAAAAGTTTTTTGGCTGGACAAAATTTCCTCACACCATCAATCGTGAAAAAGAAAGTGAAACATTCAAAAACGTTAATGAAGATGAGAATACACTAGACACAATATTTTACAGTGGATATAAAGTTGCAATCCGGATTGGCATATTTTTTTACAAATAAGAAAGATACTTAACCATATGATCGTAATGCATTTTGCACAGGCAATAGTACTCGTTATGGGAAAGTACTCTTTGCAAAACGGAAAGTTGGGCAGGAACGCTTTGTCGGTAGCGTGGCCGAGTGGTCTAAGGCGCTGGTTTCAGGCACCAGTCATTTCGATGGCGTGGGTTCGAATCCCACCGCTGCCAAATTTCATGCAATTTTAGCATTACTGTCACGTCTTTTTATACTTAAAGAGTAATGCAATAAACTTTGCTCAGTTATGTAGAAACAGGGTTTTCGAAATTGTGACAGCTGCAGGCTTAGGTAGCGTGGCCGAGTGGTCTAAGGCGTTGGTTTTAGGCACCAGTCATTTAGATGACGTGGGTTCAAATCCCACCG